GGAGGGATGGACGCACGGACACTGCCCCCAGCAGCCCTCCCTGGGCTGCTTCTCTGTCAGTATTCACCTCCACAAAGTGCAAGTACCCCAATCACACGTGAATGTATCATGCCAGAGACGCTGCCGCGGGCAGGCATGGAGAGTTGGGGGTGCTGTGACAGCAGCCTCCCTCTTCCCTCCCCCTCCTCTCCCGTGTCTTCTTTTTATATCAAAATAGAGAAAAAAAAAACACCAAAAGAAACCCACAAAAAACACACAAAACAGACAAGGAAGGACAAACGCCCCACAACTGCTTCGGCCTGTGTTGCACACGGTGATGGAGAGAGCGGGGAGGCCGTGGACCTGGGGCGCTCTGGAGCCGGGGGTTGGGCTGGGAAAGGGGAAGCGCTCCCCGGGTCCTTCCGTGTCTCTGCGGGAGCAGCAGCCGTGATTCACTCCCACACCCAACACTGGGCTCTTGCACAACTTTCAGCCTCCGCTTCCTCCCTGCTCTTCCTCCCCGCGCCAGCTCCTGGGGTCCCCACCGGGGGATCGCTGGGGGGGGGGGGGCTTTCGGGGGTCTCTGTGATACCAAAGAGGAATCCAGTTCAAAACGGGCTCTGGCTTGGGCCGGAGTCGATTTTTCGGGAAGTTCGGGAGTTTCTTTGTGTCGGGGTGGGGGACGCGAGGATCGGGGCGTCTAATTTATTACACGTTTCTATAGTGCGGGATTGTATCAAAATCACGGGACCGCAGCGGGAAAAAATGAACCAAAACCCAGCGTTTTCTATATAAAAACAGCCACAAAGTTGTGCGCAGCCGTGTCCTGTGTCCTTCGGGGGGGGACGGGTACTGGAGACGGCAGCAGGTGCGGGGCACCGGGAGTACAGAGCAGGGGGGGCGGCTGCTTTCCCCCCCCTTCCCCCGGTGCTGGCCCCGCCCAGCCCGGGCGCACGTGCTGGAGCCGTCCCCGTTCCCCGTCTTGTCCCGTCCCGGTTTCACAACCGCGGGCACCGGTAGCAACGCGCGCGGCTCCGCCGATGTCCTGCTGCCTGCAGCCGCTCATTTTCCTCCTCTTCGCTGCCGCCGCCGCGCCCCGGCAGCCCTGCGGCCCCTTGGGTGAGTGCGACCGGGAGCGGGGCATGGAGCAGGGGGACACTCGCCACCCCCATGACCACCCTTCCGGCAGGGCTCCCCCCCCACCGGTACCGGAGCCATGGGAGGGGGGGGAGGCGGTTCCCGGCGGAGATCAGCACCGCGGGCTCAGAATGGGTGCTGGGGGGGGGGGGGCTGGGTCTTTGGAGTGCTGGAGGGTGCTTGGGGTGCTGGAGGGTGCTGGGGGTGCTGGGAGTGCCGGCTGCTGGAGGGTGCTGGGGGTTCTGGGTGCTGGGGGTTGCTGGGTGCCGAGCGTGTTCCCGTCAGCAGGAACAGCAGCTCCGCGGTGGTTGTTGACCTTTGCAGAGGGAGCCGGGAGTGCTGCCCCGGGCGGCCTCCCCTGGCCCCGGACCAGCCTGGGCCTCTGGCCTGGGCCGCTTTAACCCCCCAGCGCCGGAACCCGGCACCCCCGGATCCCCCGGTCCCAGCCGTGGCTCTCCCGGTGCTCCCCTCACAGCGCTGCCAGGCCGGGTCCCACCACCTGATGCTGGGGGGGTTCCCGTGTGCCGGGGGGGGCGTCCACATTGACCAACTAGATGGGGAATCGCTGGCTCAGCAGGAGCTGCCGCTCGGAGCCTCCTGCAAATATTGACTCTGAGCAGTGGCGTACGGGGAGCAGGCAGCGGCGGTGGGGGTCCACCCCCAGCGCTGGAGACACGCTGGGGTCTTGTCTCCATTGCCGAGACGCTCTCACCCCCCCAGGGCTCTCCCACGACACAGTGCTGGGCCGCCCCGGAGCAAACATCACTCTGAGGTGCTGGGACGAGGGTCCGGGGAACGTCACCGTGTCCTGGCGGGTGGAGGAGTGGGGCCGGAGCCAGCGGCTGCCCGCGGGGAACGCGCTGCCCCTGCACCGCCTGCGCCACGAGGACGCGGGCACCTACAGCTGCTTCGTGGGGAGCCACCGCCTGCGCTCGCTGCGGTTGCTGGTGCAAGGTGGGTCTGCGCCAGGGCACGGGGGGGCCTCGTAGCACCGCCAGGTGTGAGGGGTCCCCCAGCGCCTCCCTGCTTTGCAGAGCCCCCTGAGACCCCTCGCGTCTCCTGCTACCGGCGGAGCCACGACCACGACGTGCTGTGTGAGTGGCCGCTGCGGGCCAAGCCATCCCCGGGGACAAGGGCAATGCTCTGGGTGAAGCAGAGGTGAGGGATGGCCAAGCACCTACATGGGACCTCACGGCACGGCAGCTTCACAGGTGGCTCTGTCCCCGAAGCTGCCCCATGTGTGCCACAGCCCCGGCTGAGCCACCACCCCGCAGGTTCACAGCTGAGAACGCCACGGAGCAGCGGTGCCGCTTCTTCTCCAAGTCACAGAAGTTTGTTTGCCGGGTGAAGGTGCCCCGCGGGGCCGATGACATCAAACCCCTCCTGGTGTCCACGTGCGTCAGCAATGCCGCTGGCAGCGCAGCCGGCGAGGACAAGATCATCACCCTCAATGGTGTATGTGAGTGCTGCTTGCCTCTTGATGGGGTTGGGGCTGGCCGAGCAGCTCAGTGCCAGGACCTGATACCCCAGTGTCTCAGCAGTGAGGCCCGATCCCCCCCTCAATGTGACGGTGACAGCTCTGGAGAAGGCGCCGCAGCGGCTGCGGGTGAACTGGTCCTACCCTTCATCCTGGGATCACCGCTTCTACTGGCTCCGCTTCCAGGTCCGCTACCGCCCCGAGCCTGCCCAGACCTTCAGTGAGGTGAGACCCTGGCCCAGCTGCCCATGCCCATGTCCCCAGCCCTGTGCTGTCCATGTCCCCAGCCCCGTGCTGTCCATGTCCCCAGCCCCGTGCTGCCCATGTCCCCACAGGTTGACCAAGTGACAACAACATGGCTGGACATCCATGACGCATGGCGGGGACTGCGGCACGTGGTGCAGGTGCGGGCACAGGAGGAGTTTGGCCACGGTGCATGGAGCGAGTGGAGCCGGGAAGCAGTGGGTGCTCCATGGACAGGTAGGAGGGGGGCACGTGTGGCCCTGAAGCTGGGGGTTCAGCACAGGGTCTCCCCATCACAATCCCCCCCCCATCACTTTGCAGACCCCAAGGACCTTAACTCTGAAATGGGATTCTTCAGCTCCCAGGTAGGGCTTAGCCCCAGGGGAACATGCTGCACTCTTAGCTGGGTCTTGTGTCCCTGTGTGGGACAAAGGGACACTAGGGTGGGGGGGCTGCCCAATCCCATAATGCCTCCCCTTGCCTTCTCTTGCAGTTCCCCATGGAGGATGGCACCTACGGGCTCACACTGCCTCCCGAGCTCTTTGTGGAAGATGGTGCTGATGGCACTGGTGGTGAGGAGAAGGCCCTGGGGTGGCAGTGGGGTGGCTATGACCCCCAGGTCCCTGATCCCCACAATGAGCCCATCCCCTCCTCTATGCCCAGGGCCCATCATGGAAGCCAGTGCCCGCTCCACAGCATCGCCTTACACCTTCCTGGTGGCCGGGGGGAGCCTACTCCTGGGCATCGCCCTCTGCATTGGCATTGTGCTGAGGTGAGTGCCTGGGGGGGGCACAACACAATTCGGGGTGGGGGGATCCACTTTACCCCCCCAACCTGGGCACTCTGTTCCCTCCTGCAGGTACCGGCAGCTCTGGTGGATGGATGGGTGGCGGGGGGCAAAGCCAGAGGGCGAGGGGCAGCATGTGCTGGTACCCCTGGGCTCTCCCAGCCCCCCTCTTAGTGACACCCCCCTGCTCTCCCCGCCCTGTTCCCCAGCCTCTGGGGGGCTCCATGTCACCAGCCTGGACTACTTCTTCTCAGGGCAGTAGCTGGGGTCTGGATGAGCTGTTGGGCACTTGCAGGTTGGGTTGGGGGACTCCTGGTCCTGGGGGTTCCTGGGGCTTAGGATGTGGCCCTGGGAGCAGCGTGTCCCCCCCACTACCCAGAGATGATGAAAGTGTCCCCAAGTCCCATGGCTGGGAGAGGAGATGGCGGAGGGGAGATCTGCACCCTCCCTACAGAGACTGGCTGGGGGGGGGCAAGCTGTGTCCCAGGGGGCAGCTCTGGGGCCGCAGCCAAGCTGGGGTGGCTGCACTGGAGCGTGGGAGCAGGGCTAGGCTGTGCCCAGAGGGATGGGGCTGGGGGGCCCGTGGGGGGGGCACCGGGAGGGCCTGGCTGGATCAGCCCCATCCCACAGGCCCCCCATGGTGGGGAAATGGGGCAAAACGTGTCTCAAATAAATGCCTTTGGTTTGTAATGGAGCAGGTGCATTAGGGGGGGTCACTGCAGCTGGGGGGGCTGAGGGGAGGTTGGGTTGTGCCCCCCTCCCAGTCCAGGCCAAGCACCCCTCATCTATCCCCCATATGCCTTGCTGTGCACCCTAAACAAGTGCCCCATGTTGTGCCCCCCCCATGCTACCAAGTGCCTCCCAGGCTGTGCCCATCCCATGCTGGGTTGTGTGAGGCCCCAGAGAGCTGCAGCTGCACCCAGGCAGGAAACCACAGCGCAAGGGGAGGGGGGACCGGGCACCCTGGGGACACCGTGTCCCGTCGTCCCCGTCCCCCCCCCCCCCCCAGCCCCACTCTATAAAAAGCCTGGCAGGATGCAGATGGGGGGGGGTGCCCAAAACTGCTGCCCCCAAACCCAGTGTGGCTTCTGCTGGCACTAATGGGGCTGTTCCTGGCTTCTGCCCTCCCAGTTAGGCTGGTGTCTATTGGGGGGGGGGAGGGGTCTGAGCCTGAGGCAGCCCCCCCAGCCCTGAAACCCTGCTCCACAGCTGGCAGCCGGCCACACGGGGGCCCAGCAGGGAGAGGGCTGGGTTCCTCTTTTCACCCTCCAACAGCACCCACAGGCAGGGAGAGCACTGCCCATCCTGGCACCCTCGGGGCCCCCATCCCCGTGCCACATCACAGCCCCCCACCTCCGCCCCCGGCCACCTGCCTCCTCTCAGCCAACACGTTTATTTCACTTCTCCGTTACACGTCCCAGCCTCGCTGCGCCCCCCTCACCCCGGCACCGGGTCGGCTCCAGTAAGGGGCAGGCAGGATCCGTCCTGGTGCAAGGGGAGCGCAGGCGGCCGGTGCCCGGCGGCAGCAGCAGGACGGGGATGCGGGGTCCTTTGAGGACCCTGCCCCACGCCGCAGGGCTGGCGGGGGTCGCGGGCCAGTCGTGGGGGGGAGACATTAGTGGGTGCTAATGCAGCTTGCAGTGCACGGGGTGCAGCAGGGCCATGTGCTCGGCCCCCTTGAAGGGCAGCTTCTCGGTGGAATAGTAGTGTACTACCTCGGGGACGCTGGCGAAGACGCCGCTGGCCTGGCTGAGCGTGTACTTGTTGTCCTTGGTTTGGGCCACGATGATGTGGACGCAGCCCTGGCTGGTCCTGGGCGGCCGGTGCGGGGCGTCAGCGGTGCCGCCACCCCCCGGCGCCCGCCCGCCCCGCGGCCGCATCCACCCCTGTTTGTTCCCGTCCCACTCCGATTGTTTCGGCTCCAGGGGCTCCGCTTCCTCAGGAAGGAAACGCCACCGGCGCTGCCGACAATGCGCCGGGGAAGCGGGGGGGGACCGCCACCACCAATCCCCCCAGTAGCCCTGCGGGTGCGGGGACGGGTCCGGCTGCTCCCACCCCATCACTGGGGCTCTCCTGCAGTATCCCCCCCCCCCCAACCAGGGACACACGGCCCCGTCCGGCTCCGCGCAGCCACTCACTTGAGCGCGATGGAGTATTTGCCGCTGCCGGTCTCGCTGGTGCGCACCAGGAACCCGGCCTCTCGGCATGCCTGCAGCCGGCTCTCGGCCTCTGCCCGTGTGATAGCCCCGTGGTACCAGCTGCGGGGGGACGCGGGGGACGCTGAGCAGAGGCCAAGCCACAGGGACCCCCCCACCCCTTTCCGTTTCCTGCCCCGGCTCGGCCTCGCCACTCACGGCTGCTTCTCCAGCGCCAGCGCGGGGTCCACCCTCTCCCCTTCGCTGTGCTCGGGGCCTGTCGGCTTCAGCATCTTGGGGGTCCAGCTCTTCTGGCGAAGGTGCTGCCGCGGCACCTCCTCCTTGGGCCGCTCTGAGCCCTCGAACTGGACTGAGGGGGAGGATGACAACGAGAAAAGAGCTTTGAAAGACGCTTCCCTGCCACCTCCATCCCCACCTCTGTCCCTGTCCCCAGCCAGTCCACCCCACCCTGAATGAGCAGAGACATCTCCAGCTGCATCAGGATGCTCCAAGACCCCGTGTCCAACCTGGCCTTGAGCACTGCCAGGGATGGGGCAGCCACAGCTTCTCTGGGCACCCTGTGCCAGCACCTCAGCACCCTCACAGGAAAGAGCTTCTGCCTAAGAGCTCAGCTCAATCCTCCTCCTTTAGTGCAAAATCACCTCCCCTTGTCCTATCACTACAGGCCCTACTAAAAAGTCTGTCCCCATCGTCATCCTCATCCCTCTCCCCATCCTTGTCCCCATCCACATCCCCATCCCTGTCCCCTACCTGACAGTGCTTTGACAATTTGCTCCTTCTTCCACTCCCAGGGCTGCTCGTACTCCCCCGCCGGGCGCTCATCATTCTCAGGCAGGCGCCCGTCCCCGGCCCTTGGCCTGCGCTCTGGGGTGCCCCCAGTCACCCCTTCCCCGGGCTCATAGGGGGTGTCGTAGAGCTGTGGCCCCTTCCCCACTGCCTCCTTGCTCCCCGGCCACTTGGCTGACTCCAGCTTGCCCCCCCCCTCCCCGGGCTCGCCAGGCCCATCCAGCAGCAGGATGGCTTTGACCAAGGGGTCTTTGGAGCCCCGACGGCGGATTTCTGTGGGGAAGAGGGACTGTGCATCAGGGAAGGGCTGAGACATCCACCACTGCCACCCCAGCGCCTGTCCTTGGGGAGGGACATGCACCCCATGGCAGGAATGCCCCACTGGGAGGTGCTGGAGCAGGAGAGGGCCCATCCTCGTGGCACCTGGCCTGCTGTTACCACACACACCTATGGGGCCAGGAGGGGTCTATGGCAGCAGGATGCTACACCCCACACTGCAGCTCAGCCCCACAGGAGGCTCCACAGCCCCTGGCCCCCTGCTTCACCCCACAGCGCCGGGCTCTGCCAAACGGCCCCGGCTGCCCCACATGGAAAATAACCATCAGCAGCAAAGCTTTTATTTCCAGCTTCCGGCCAAGTCAGTTCCTGTTGTTGTGGCTTAGCTGGGCAGGCGCCACGGCTGGGGGTCACTGCCTGGGGAGCACTGCACGGCACGTACCTGTGATCATCTGCTGCGCATCGTAGGGCTCCATGTACCCGTCATTCTCACCCAGGCGCTCGGCATCCCGCTGCCCCTTGGTGCGCTTGGCATCATAGGGATCGGCATAGTCCTCCAGGATGATGACCTGGGGACAGAATGAGCAGCACTGGCCATTGAGGGCTGCTAGGGATCCCCATCGGTGGTGGGGTGGGAGGGGATGGTGGAGATGACACCGGTTCAGAGCCAAGCAGGATGGGGACAGGGACACTGGGGTCCCACGGGCAGGATGGCAGCTCCTTATGGGGTAGATGGAGCTGTGCCACAGCCATAGGGGCACCTCTGAGGGGGGGCAAGCCCATCCCTGTGCACCCCGGTAGTGGGGAGAAGCCTGAGGGGTGGGGTGGGGCTCAGGGACTCTTTTGGGTGACACCCGCACCCCCCACCCCATCCCAGTGCTCGGGGGGCGGGGGCTGGGGTGGAAAGTCCGGCTTCCAGAGCAGCTTTGTGTAAGCCTTTGTTTAACCAGCGCCGGGGCAGGGTGTGCGGGCATCCGAGGGGTCGGCGCTCCCCGCTGATGAAGGGCAAGCGGGATGAAGAGAGCTTTGAACGGGACTTGAAGGCAGCACGATGAAAGGCCGGGGTGAGCCGTGCTAATGAGCTGCTGCAGTCCACAGCGGTTAAAGCCGCCCCAGCAACCCCACATTTCCCTCCTTACCGTCTCTGTCTTGAGGGTCTTGCCCTTGTCCTGCTCGGGTGCGGGCGGGGGACAGGGGTACCCCTTCGCGTTCTTCTCGTGGGCCTCCACCTTGATGAGGCGGTTGATGTAGGTGCCGCAGGGTTTGTGGGGTCCCTCCGGTGCCACCCCTTCCACTCGGGAGTTCTTCCGCATCTTCCCGGTGGCGGCTTGGAGCAGACCCTGCAGGTTGTCCCTGGACAGCCGCCCCCCACCCTCCTTGCTGCCCCCCGGCCCGGCCCTGCAGCCTCCCAGCTCAGCGCCCGAGTTCTTGCGGCTCTTGCCGAGGCTGCCGCTGCCAGGCCGGGCCCGCTCCGAAACCGTCTTCAGGTTGGAGGGGAACTCCTTGAACCACTTGGCTGCCATGGGGCCGGCGCGGGGCAGGGCGCCGAGGCCCCCCCCCCGGGGCGCTCTGACACCCCACGGCCGCCCCACCGGCTCAGGGCCGGCTCAGCCGGGGGGCGCGGGGTAGCCCGGCTCCCCCCAGCCCTGGGAGCGCGACCCTCGGTGGCCTGGGGCCAGCCCGGGACTTGGGGGGATGCCGGCGGGGGGCCGGGGGGCTCCAGGCGGGACGGCCGCTGGGTCCCCAGCGGTGCCGGCTCCCGCCTCCCCGGGAGGGGACCGCGTCTCCGCGGGGGTCCCTGGCACACGAAGGCTGTCGGGGGTCGGGGTCTGTGCTCCAGCGGCGGGACGTGCCGGGGGCTCTTCCAGGCGTGCGGGGGGGTCCGGCCGGGGCCGCCCCGGGCGGCTCCGGGTGTTTCTATCCCCTGAAAGGGGCCCGGGCGTCGCTGCGTGCTCCGGGGGGTCCGGCCGGGGCCCGTCTCCGGGGGCAGCGGGGATTCGGGTGCGGGTCAGGCCGGCCCGGGGGGCCCCATGCGGCGGCGGCGGGACGGGACGGGACGGAGCCGAAGGGGGCGGTGGGGCTGGCGCTCCACGCCCAGATCCGGAGGGGGCGGCCCCGGGGGACGGCGCGGCACCGGCCGGGCGGGCGGGCACCGGCCCCGGCAGCGGTGGGGACCTGCGGTCAGATCCGCCCCGGGCCAGGGCCTCTGTCCGGCGGCTCCCGAGGGCTGCAGGAGGCTGATGGGACAGGGGAGGCTTGATCCCGCACCCGGGCCCCAGCACGGACCAGGTGTGTGAAGCCCAGTGGAGATACCCCACGGACCTTTCTGCATGGACCCTCCTGCCCACCCCCGGGTGAGGACCTCGGAGGCGGAGGGGGAGTGCTACTGACCCATCTACGACAGCCCAAGGGAAAGGAGCAGATCGGGGGGTGCAGATAAAGGTGCTCCCCAGCCCCCAGGACGGGGCTGCCCTGGTTCGGGGCAGGAGACGGGCTTTTCCAGGGGCTGGGGAATGTCCCCAAGAAGCAGCCGGCTCCAACCCACGGCAGGGTCCTGCTGCTGTGAGCCCCTGAGAACTGGTTCCCGGCATCGTCCCCTTCCCCGGGGAGGCGCCGGCAGCGCCGTAGGAAGCGGTGGCAATTTCTTTCCTTTGGCACATTTCAATCCCCCCCACCACTGCCGGGGCCTCACCAGCAGGACAGGCGCCGGCAGCACCGGCTCGGTGGCTCCGTGCCATCTGCTGGGAAGTCTCTCTCCATCCGCATCCTCCGCAGCTCCGCTGGGAACGCTGCGGGAGCGTCTCTGGCAGCAGCGACAGATGGCACTTGGGTGCCCGCTTCCCCGAGCAGCGGAGTGGAGCCGGCGCTGTGCTGAGCCTGGAGCAGGATGGAGCCCGGCGCTGGGGCGGGTGCGAACAGACGGCACGGGCAGCCGCCGCCAGACGCCAGCTCGCGCGGTTACTGCCGTGCTTCCAGGCCCGGCGCCCGCATCCGAGCGGGGAGGGGATGCGGGGGGACCTTGGCGAGCCCTCCCGCTCATCCCGGCCTGGACGCGGGAGCACGGGCCCGGTGAGCGGCCCCAGACCCAGCCCTGCCGCCAGGCTCTGCAGGTACAGCCCCCACCTCACCTAACAGCACCCCCAGAAGCCTTTGAAACCCGCATTAAACCTGCCAGACAGCAGGTTCCCGGCGCTCGCTGAGCTGCCCCGTGCCCCCAAGGACCCTGCCCGGGGGTGCAGAAGCTGAAGCCGGGCAGAACCGTTGAGGGTCACAAACCCGCCAGTCCTGCAGCAAAGGGCTTAAAAATAGCCTCAGGCAAGGCTGGAGCCGCTCCCGCAGCGAGCGCAGAGCAGCCCCCGTTAATCCCTCGCCTACAGCTTCTCCTTGCAAGGCTGGGAGCAGGACCAGGAGCAGCTGCGGGAGCAGATAACAGGCGGCTTCTGAGGCCCTTTGATTTGATCATGGGTTTGATTCAAACACTGAATTAATGCTGATGGCCCCACATTGACACTGATGAGTCAGCTCTGCCTCCAGCTGAGGACACGGCCCCACACCCAAAGCTCCTTCCAGCAGCCCCAGGACAGAGCAGGGGGGATTCGCGCAAGGGACAGAAGCACTGAGGCAGGACTTGAGCAACGCCTCCCCCCCGTTACCACAGAACTGAGCAGGTACAGACACACACACCCCCCAGCCCCTTGCTGCGGAGACAAGAGCAGCAAATCCCACTCCTCTTCAGGCAGCTACTACAGGTACAAGATGCTCAGGCAGGGCAGAGGGGCTACAGATCCAGGCTTGCCCCAGGCAAGCCTCTGCTCATTCTCCCACTGCTTGGCAACACAGGCCATGGAGAAGGTTGGAGGGGCACCTGCAAACCCCTCACCCACAGAAGCCAGGAATGCCTTAAAACCTTCCCTTCCCCACTTCCAGAGGACAAGGGAAGGGGACAGACGCCCTTCTCCCCTGGTGCCCAAAGGGTCGTCTTCTTCCAAGGCCACTGTTGCAGCCCTTACTGCATGGGTCGTGCGGCCACCACCCTGAGAGGCCAGCATGCTCCTGTGCCCCCTGGGCCAGGGGCAGAAGAAAAGACAACTGAGACCAGGATCTTCAAATTAACAAACTGTAACTTTTCTCCAAAGATACATTTTTCCATACACATCCATCATACACTGTAACAAAAAAAAGCAGTGTACATGAAATAAGAAAATAAATTAAATCCAATAGCATAGGTAAGGAGGATGCTCGAGACTGGAGCAGAGTCGAAAGGTTCCAGCGATACAAGAGGCTCAGGAAGTTTGTCTTAAACAAGAATTGATGCTAGCGAGGGTCCAGAAAGTGGTGTTGCTCAGTCCCAGCTGCTTTAAACAGTTTTAGAGTTTTTAAACAGCCATTATTGTCCTGCAACAGGCAGAGCTATTACATCCCAGGAGAAAGCATTGAGATCCTAGTAGAGCATCCAGAAGATGAGGCTGGTCCTGCAGTATCCAGGCTAGCCATCCTCCTTGGGCGGTGTGTACCAGCCTGAAAGGAGAGAGATCCATGAGGGACACTGGGAACAGGAGGGAATGCACAGCTGGAAGCAGCAGCACAACCACACAGAGTCCTGCTGCAAAAGGGCTGCATGTCCCACAGTACTGGGAGGCTTCTCTCACCAGCAGCATCCAGAGAGAGACCTGCTGTCTCCAGAGAACGGTGCAGGCACATGCTTTGCACTGCAGTGCCTGCTCTTGATGGCTTGCACAGAACTACGTGGGAGAGAGCTTAAAGCTCCTCCAGTTCCAACCCCTGCCACAGGCAGGCACACCTTCTACTGGAGCAGTTTGCTCCAAGCCCCTGTGTCCAACCTGGCCTTGAACACTGTCAGGGATGGGGCAGCCACAGTTTCTCTGGGCACCCTGTGCCAGCACCTCAGCACCCTCACAGGGAAGAGCTTCTGCCTAAGAGCTCAGCTCAGTCTCCCCTCTGGCAGGTTAAAGCCATTCCCCTTGGCCTGTCCCTACAGGCATGTGTCCAAAGCCCCTCTCCAGGTTTCTTGTAGCCCCTTTAGGCACTGGGGCTGCTCTGAAGTCTCCCCAGAGCACAGCAGAGGGGCAGGATCTCCTCCATGACCTGCTGCTCCCACTCAGGGGGTGTTCCCAGCACACGGGGGAGGTTCTGGGCTCAAGTGCACACTCTGTTGGGTCATGGGTTGCTTCTGATCCACCAACACCCCAAGTGACCTTGCTCCAGGTGACCTCTGTGTTTGGGGTAATGGCTCATCTGGCTGCTCAGACAGCAAGGAGAAACACACGCTCCATCCTTCAGCCCTTACCATTCTTCTCATGGATCTGAACCAGGGACTTGTAGGACTGCTGGGCTCTGGTCAGGCTGTACTGATTCTGCAGGGAAAACCAGGGTGCTCATCAGTGTGACTCCACACTGCTCCCAGCCATGCCTCAAGCCCCCCTGCACTGAGCAAGCCCTACCTTATTGGCTCCAAACTGCACTCGTGCCTTCCCTTTCACCAGGGTCGCACTGATCTGCATGATCACGGACTCGATGGAGTAGGCGCTGCTCCAGCCCTGATGGACAGAGCAGACCACAGTGAGGGCAGCACAGGGCCCCTGCTGCTCCCCCAGGGCAGCAGAGCCAAGCCAGGCAGCTCCAGGCAGCAGCAGGAACACAAAGCACAGCCCAGAGGTACCCACCTGCTTTGTAAGTAGCTCCATGCAGATGGCACCACCACCCAGGACATACCTTGGGGGAGGAATGAGGCAAAGTCAGGGCAGAGACAGACACAAACCGTTTCCTCAGATGGAGAAACACACAAAAGGGAAAGCCCCATCTCTGCCTCCCCAAGAATCACTGCCAGCTTGTGCCAGGGAACACAGTGGGAGACTATGGGGCTGTCAGCACTGAAAGCTGCTGCAGGAAGCAGCTCTGTAAGCTCGCGGAACCGGGAGAGGGGAGCAGCTACTTACCCCCCTGACAGCACTGGGGACACGACCCTTACGAAGGGTGGATCGAAAGGAAAGTTATCCTGGAACAAAGAGGGAAGCAAAAAGCAAAGAGATCAAGGAACATTGCCTGAGGACCTGCTGAGGCAGAAGCAGCTCAAGGAGGGGAGGCACAGGCCTTACTTTAAAGGAGAAGTTGAGGAGGATGAAATCTGCTCCTTCTTTCTCTTTGAGGATCTGGAGATCATTGTGCAAAGCGCTGTCCTCATCAACCCTGCCAAGGAGGAGGCCAGAGGCTCAGGCAGGGCCGTGCACTCGGCTCCGCCGCACTCACTGCCACCGGCCCCAGCACTACTGTACCTGGATGGTCTCACCCTGGGGGCAGCGACAGCACGGGCTGTCAGCATTGTGCTCCTGGCTTGCAGAGAAGACCATCAACCCTTTGTGCATGCTGCCAGCTTAAATATAAAGCCTGCCTGGCCCAAGCAAAGGCAGCACTGGTGTCTGGAGGGTGTGAGAGCTCGGGGTTTTGTCTGATGAACCTCTTCCAGGACTCTAGGAACAGCAGACAGACTTGCAGAGCCCTGAGATCATCTCCCCTTTCTCTGGAGACGTTCTTTCCTTTGGGATGTGCAGCCAGCAAGCAAGCTGCCCAAGAGTGAGGCTAACCCAAGGTGCTCCCCTGCTCACTTCCCCTCTGGCTCACAGGGATGCTTTGGTCCCACACCACAGTTGCATGATCCCAAGCAATGGCACCTACTTCAGGAGTTTGACGTTCCAATCGTACAGGCTGTCGTTCACTAGTTCAACTGCATAGTATCCTGCAGGGCAGAGAAGGGCTGTCACTGCAGGGGGACACCTCACAGCCGGCCAAGCCACCACCCAGGTTTCAAAACCCTTGGAACTGCAGCACAACCTCAGCCTGGCAGAGACCTCCCCCAAAAAAACCCAGCACTTATCCAGAAGGACATTCCTGAGGACAGCAGTTTTCCTGTGGCTGCTCCTTCCCAAGTCCTTGGGCTTAGGAAAGCAGTGGGAGCACCATCCCCCTCAGGGCTAATCCTCCCAGCACTGAAGGGAGCAGATGAGGCCGTTTTGCTCCCTCGCAGAGGTACTGAAGCAGCTCTGAGACCCTTGGGGTGCCCTG